GCTCCTATCTCCGAGACTTATAGTTCACAAAAAAATAACTCTTGCACGCCTTGCGTGCCTATGTTTAAAACAGCTCCCAGTCTTGTTTCATCAAATATGAGTAGTATTTTCTTTTGATTTGGCAGGATCACGGCCAACAGTCAAAGCAGTTTGGAATGCAAATAAGACTTTGCTTGAAACGAAAGAGCTGCTACAGATAATAAAGCATTTTCCGTGAGTCATCTGGGACATTGATATAACTACCTGCTAGTTCTTACCTTAGAGGAGATTTATTTCACCCGGTAAAATAAATGGTTTTATGATGCTTGTTATGACTCCGTTCTCACTTCCGCCTGAGGGGCTTCCGGTACTACGCACGGTTATGACGTCACATTTCTCCATGCGTTTTCTCTCCCTTCACGTCGATTGAAGAAAGCATCGTGCTGGAATTTCATCCCCTCCTCCACCCCGTCTCCTCCGGTACATATAGTCTTATTCTGGGGCTCGCCAGCGGTTTTCACCCTCACCTTTGCTGAGAACGAAGTCGTTTAAAGGTTAGCTCTTCCTTAGAGATGAGTGATTGGCAAATAAATGCTGTACACTTTATTGATTTAATAAACGGTCACTCACGTGGCCAGAAGTTTGCCAGTCCAGGAGTTATCCTTCTTACCCACTTCCTCCGTTCTCATCAAACCAAGCTCGGCCTACCCAGTGCTCATGCGCGGCTTTGTTAATAGCATGCGTCATAAAAAAAGATAAATCAAAGTAGCTGAATAGTGTTATTAAAACATACAAATTCAGTCTAGACAACGTGGGGTAAGTGTCTGGAAACATGATTGGAATTATTAATGGCAAACAATTAAGACTTCATTAGGCCTTACAACTCAAGTTCAGCTAAGATGCTTAAACTAATGATGGTTAAAAGTGTACTTGTAATAAATTTGATTAACATCATTCACAAACAGGACTCTGCTAGCATCAATCACAGTTTGAGGATGGAAATAATTCGTTTGCAAGAATGAAAAGCTCGAGTCCAAGACTACTGCAAGAGGCACAAACGTAACGCCGACACTGTACTTAGGAAGGATCTTCATTATTTTAACGTGTTTCGTAGCAGGAAAGTTATTTACTGTTTTATACCCAAAGTCTCAAGTTCACAATGGAAAAAGGAATTGTCTGTCTTGGTAGAAGAGGACAAGCAAATTTATAATGGCAGTTTGAAAAACAATCTAAGAAAATTCCCTCGACAAGAAGTGGAACCAATGCTTAAGAACTCTTACGTTCCTAGTAGTCCGGGATCCTATGGAGCGGGTGCTTTCCGCTTACAGGGATAGATTTGTGAAAGATAACACGTATTTTTATCGAGCGTATGGTAGAATTATCATCAAACGATACAGGCCTAACCCAACAAAGCAGGCCCTTGAAATAGGCAGTGGTGTGACTTTTCCGGAAGTCACGAAGTATGTGATAGAAAGACGAATGCGGAAAGAACACCGGCAAGCATTTGACAAACTATGTCATCCCTGTGCTGTAAACTATGACTTTATAGGTCGTTTCGAAAATCTCTTTGAAGATGCTCGTTATTTGATAAAAAAAAGGCAGGAATTGACGACCGCGTTTCTTCGCATTTGTTTCGTTCGTCTAACACCGCCGCTGCCATATTACATTACTATCCTCAAATTCCTAAGCAAAGAATTTTTCAAATGGCAAAGATTTATGAAAGTGACTATGAACTGTTTGGTTATTCTTTTCCAGGCAAATTGGGAGCACCTTTGAATTCAACTGATAGCCAGTAATTGCACGCGTTATTTTTTTAGGGCTAGATTAAAAGTACTACAAGAAAATATAGTCAATGTGCCGACAATGTGTAATAGTGCTTTTGGAAAACGAGCTAAACGATGTATTCAGGAGCGAAAAGGAAAATGTTACGTCTCGGGTTGGTTTTCCAGTGTGAACTGAGAACTGTTGGGAATAATAGAAAATACAATCCAATTCCTAAACGCTAAATTTACTGCGAACAATTCTGACTTGGCTGCTTGGAGGCTTGGGGGCATGAAAGAAAAGAGATCACACAGCAGAAAAATGGTGGGAAAGTAGTTTATTTATTTATTTATTTATTTTTTCCTGGTCTAAGATAGAAGTTAGAATTTGATTACACTATTGAGATTGACCCCTTACATACAGGAAAAATAATAGGGAGAGCAATAAAAAATCCTTGTTAAATTTTCAAAAAGTAGCGAGAAAAATGAGAAGGTTCTTAATTCTTAACCTTTTGTGCAACTGCAGATTGACTTTAAATTGACTTTCGCAATCAGATTGAAAAACCAT